TCGACTCTTTCTTTTGAGAGACAATAACTTTATACACGGTGCACTTTCAGATTTAAAACTTTGCAGGATGTTTTCAATCATTTAGAGCTGTGTTACACACTGCATGAAAGGTAATTTCCAAAAATCCATAATAGGGGCACTTTAATCAATTTCTAACACTAGGGGGCGCTACAACTTACGAAAATCGTACTAGTGCAACTAGATGACCTACGAAGTCTGTCAATTATTTTTCTGACTATATCACACACTCTAAAAAATGTTGGGTTGTTTCAACCCAACTTTGGGTATTTAAAACTTTGCAGAATGTTTTGTATTCACTTAGAGCTGTGTTACACACTGCATGAAAGGTCATTTCCAAAAATCCATAATAGGGGCACTTTAATCAATTTCTAACACTAGGGGGGCGCTACAACTTACGAAAATCGTACTAGTGCAACTAGATGACCTACGAAGTCTGTCAATTATTTTTCTGACTATATCACACACTCTAAAAAATGTTGGGTTGAAACAACCCAGCATTTTTTAGAGTGCAGCTAGATTCTGATTGCAATAGAAATGCATCTATTTTTTAATCCCAAAACAGCAGTCTAAACTGAATTGAATAAGTCATGCTCATGTAATTTAGTCACTCATGTAGATTTTTTGATATCAATATTTATTGTAACTGAAAAAAAAAAAAAAATCCTACAGACCTGCACATTAAAATGTTGGTTGCATGAGAAAAATACATTCAATCATCACCAAGAAAAAAACTCATCTTTTGTATTACAGAACAAACAGTGTGCAACACCACAGATTAACTTCAATGTAAAATACATTCTCATCTTCCTTTCTCTTTTAATTAATGACAAAACACTGTACATATAAAAACAAAACATTCAACAAACAGCATAGGATATATGAAAAGAACATATCAGTTAATATGCATACAAAACGTGTTACATGCCTAACTAACATAAGAGTCCGATTTCCCAGACTAATATCGACAGTTTCTCAGATCATCGGAAGAATTTAGTAAATCACATCTTAACAGCTAATGCTACAACATACAGTACATTAAAAAAAGAGAGAACAGGGATATTCTGAAACATGAAACATGAACCTAGTGTTGTGAAACAGATGATGTTTTTGGCATCTCACAACAACAGAGACAGAATTTTTTTTAAAGGGATGTTTAACATCTTTTGAACACAGAACCACAAGAACTACTTATAATCATTACAATTAGATTTAATTCTGCAGCAAAATGCCAAGGTAATGTCATTTCCCCATGAAGATGCCATTTTCCTATTCATGTTTTTATATCAACAACTTTAAAATCAAGTATTCTAAAATAAGGTATTGGAAATCATTAAAATCTCCATTGGTGCATGGAGCCATTTAATCATCAATCAATCTAGATTCTTTATCAGTTAGTGTTTAATGCTCAGATATGTGGCTGGAAAAGGCTCTGGACATGTGACCAAAAGCTGATATCTTATTTTCCAACGTACTCATTCGCCAAAAACAACCACAAACAAACGTTGGCGGGGAAATGTTCGGTCATGGTGTGAATAGCTTTACAGAAATTCTTTGTTTCACTTCAAAATCTTGTTCACACATAATATTTGTGGTGTGAAAGGAGGGCCTTTTAATTCTACATAATTCTAATAATCCTTCTTTTTATATACAGATCATTGTTTTAGTTTTTTTACAGCATTCAAAACAGATGCATCAGTTATAGCTGGAATATCAACTACTTCTTTTATTGCAGTTAACTCTCTCAAGACACATTCATTTGAAAAAAAAAAAAAAGTTTGGGATTTTTTTCCCCATTTTGATTCAATAAATTCAAAGGTTTAAAAACATTACAGTTGATTGCATAACATTTCAGATGCAAACACACCTGATCTATGCCACCACGAGTTTACACTGAAATTCAGCCACAACTGCTTTGGTGACATTAAGCTCCAATTTAGTTGCATTCACAAAAAGATCTTAAAAACTTTTCTGTACCTCAGAACAGTCACTGAAAATTCCTTCTCTTTCTTTATTTTCTTTTCTATTCTATTTTCTATTTATAAAAGTAAGATTACAATGTATTTCAAGCAACCTGGGAAGAATGTACACCATAATTATAAATCCTACAAATATGCTTGAGATCTTGCGATGTGTTTGAGATTACATTCAGACTTCAGCAGGGAAGAGGTGGTTGATCAGTTGCAACTTCAGTCCAGCAGATAGCAGCGTGTCCATGTCTCACCGTGAGTGTCAGGCTGCGATCTCACAGTTCAACCCAACTCTAGATCTTTTTTCCTTCAACATTGTTGTGCTAGGTGTGATTGGAAGAAATTTGCCTCAACACAAGACTCTTTGTTGACAACACGCTGACCATTCATGAAGTCAGACAAAAATCTGTACACCCTAGTGAAAAATAAATATATAATTTTATTTATTTCATGCTAAGTATACTACAAATACATTTTCATATTTATGTATGCCCTGCAATTGTACTTTTAGAATACTAAACTGGTATACTTAAAGTCTGCTAAATTGGAACAACTAATTTTGTGCTTAATGCACTTTAATTGTGCAGAAGGAGTGCTGGAGTACAATTAAAGATATGCTTAGTATATTTGGATTGTGCTAAAGTGGAACTATTGCAAGTACACTTCAGGTACACTTTAAATATTTTGCATTTAAAGACCGATATTATTCAAAGATCGTACAAACACATTTTAGACTTAATATTAAGAAATGTGCACTGTGCACAAGTAGTACGCCAAATAAAGTTTAATTATAATTTTTTATATCAGTAAGTCTCGAGTTATCTGTCAGTAAATATGTTAACAGATTTTAACCATACTTAGTATGAAATAAATGTATTTTAAATATATTACTTTTTTACTAGTGCAGTTAATAATATTGAGCTAACAATAAAATATAATGTGTACTGTTATAACTTAAAATGGTTGTTTTTTTTCTGAGAAAATGTAGTGATGCAGAATGTTAGTTTACCAGTTTAGAGGTGACAGTCAAATGCACCCTGTTCAGCTGCCTGAACATCCTCTTCTGTGATGACTGAAGAACAAAGAACAAGCAGAAATAGGCAGAGAGAGTCTGGTAAACACAGCTCAGTTATGTGATGTGTGTGTGAGAATGTACCTGTGTTCTGCAGGTTAGACGGGGCATTGCTGGGCAGAGGAAAGCTGTAGGATCTGGACTGCAGTAACGGTGGGGTCTCATGACTGATGCTCTTCGTTCTTTTACGGCATTCGACTGTCAGGCGTCCATGACATGCTTTATGACAGTTCACACCACAGACTGAGAGAGAGATGCAGCGTTAGTATTTAGGACGGTGGACAAAGGCGAAAAGACAGTAAGCAAGCTCTTGTGAAAAAGAAGTCAGCTTAATTGTCGTGCACTTCAAAGTTTAGATCTTCAAAGTATATTTTAAGATAACAGAAAACATAATAATGAAATAAAAGGCCACTTACTTAGAGACACTTTTCAAGATGTTTCACACTTAAGTACACATTTAAATCATTATGTTTTAATAATCTTTTGTCATGTTTTATTTTACCGTGTTTACTTACATACTAAAGCACTTGATTCTAATTTTAGCTGTGGTGTTATATTTCAAGTTAATATATTTCAAGTAATCGCAATTTCATTGCAAATGTGTATTTACAAATATATTTAAATACATGATATACAAGTTTGAAAAGAAATGACATTCAAATGCATTTTAGTTTATCATAAATGCTTGTCAGTACATTCAGCAGTACTTCAACCATATTTCAAAGTCAATAGAAGTAATTATGAAATTACATACGGGTGACCGTGCGTTTGCAGAGTACTTCAACCATATTTCAAAGTCAATAGAAGTAATTATGAAATTACATACGGGTGACCGTGCATTTGCAGTAGACTTTGTAATAATAATAATATTTCATCATATTTTTAACTTTATTATTCTATGTGTCATATTGCCTTATTCATGCTTGTACAGCACTTTGGTAAACACATGTTGTTTCAAAAAAAGTGCTTTGCATCATATGGCCCCTTTAACTTTGTTGTTCTATTTGTCATATTGCCTTATTCATGCTTGTACAGCACTTTGGTAAACACATGTTGTTTCAAAAAAAGTGCTTTATAAATAAACTTTGACTTTGATACACTTCACATAACTGGATTGAATGATTCATTCACTAATCAGACTGATTTGGTTCTTGAGTTCAGCTCACTGATTCATTGATCTGATTGCAGCGGTTCCCTATCTGTTGGTCACTACGATTTATGTCGTGATGACATTAGGGGATTTACTTGGGAGCCCCAATCATCTCTACAGCTCACTGATTCATTGATCTGATTGCAGCGGTTCCCTATCTGTCGGTCACTACGATTTATGTCGTGATGACATTAGGGGATTTACTTGGGAGCCCCAATCATCTCTAGACTTTAAGAGAAAATGCCAACTTTATTATTCTATGTGTCATATTGCCTTATTCATGCTTGTACAGCACTTTGGTAAACACATGTTGTTTCAAAAAAAGTGCTTTATAAATAAACTTTGACTTTGATACACTTCACATAACTGGACTGAATGATTCATTCACTAATCAGACTGATTTGGTTCTTGAGTTCAGCTCACTGATTCATTGATCTGATTGCAGCGGTTCCCTATCTGTCGGTCACTACGATTTATGTCGTGATGACATTAGGGGATTTACTTGGGAGCCCCAATCATCTCTAGACTTTAAGAGAAAACGCCAATGAATTTTGGCTAGTGGATTTTGCATACCTGAGCCACTCCCCGTGTATACGGGTATAAATAAAATAAAGCTTGAAAGCTCCATGCACTGTAATGAACTCTATGCATGATCATTTCTGCATTTAACCTTTAGAGGCCACTGCGACTTCTGGTGCAGAGGAAATTGTAAGAAAATAAAGCACAAAATGAAATCTTGAGGAAGTGTTACACAACAGGACAATGCAATATTGATACAGTCCACCTTCACACTAAAGGTATTTACAGCTTCTGGAACTCTTTACTAAAACGTTATGATTTAATATAATATACAAAAATGTTATGTTTTCTATATATAATATACTACAAACATACCAAACACACACACATACAGCTCTCTCTTACCTTTGCATTTGTATCCTTGTTTATAAAAGCCCCATATCTTAAAAAAAGAAGAAAATGAGTTATTTTTGAGGAAAAAAGACAGATGCAGAAAGGATGTGGAAAAGAGAAGAGGGAGGGACTAAGATCAAGAGAGAGAAAGAGAATCACAACAGGTAAACAATAGATGAAAGGGAGAGCACAAACATCACAAACACACAACATCAGAGGCCACACACACACACACACACATAGGTAGATGTGAAAGCACCACATACACTCAATACAACAAATAATACACAGCTACACACCACACTATGCTATAAATAAACCAGCAGATCAAAGCCAATGTGTTCAGGCTAGAGCTAATTTCTAAAACTGTCCATCTCAGAAAACACAAGATGCAATAATTTAAAAAAAAAAAATCTTTCTATATGCTTGCATGAGACTTACAAAGCCGGCGCAGTGTTCGCAGAAGGTGGGTTTCACATATGTGGTCTCAATAAATGTGTGTATGAAGCCCATCTTACAGTTGAGCAAAGAACTGGCCTTCATAAAGTAATCTATCATCTCCTCTCTGCTGATCTTTCCATCCCTGATAAATGGAGAAAGACAGAACGTGAAATGAGAGAGAAAAACAGACACTCAGAAACAGTCAATAAGATCTAAACAATGCAAACCCTCATAACAAATCAGCTCCCATGGAAGAGGTGCTTTATGAACATCACAAGGGAAGAGGCCCAGTAACTCATGACATCTGCCGATGGGTTGTAGACTTAGTGGAATACATACACGACTTCTAAAATCTGAGCATACACTTGCTTACTTTGTAAATGGTTACACAACAAACAAACAAACATGCATCTGGTTTTTAAATAAAATGGTATTGTTGGAAAAATAAACTATTTTAAATGTGTTGTTGTTGTTGTTGATAAGCAATAGTTTAGAAAAGTAGCAAAAGTCTTTCAGTAGTTTGAATTTGGTTTTATGTTTGTTTGTTTCTTGGTGAAAACATTTATATTATGTTGTGCCCACAACATTTCTCGTTTGGCATCAATACACTTACTGATTTTTATCAAGTTCTCCAAACTTGCTGAGATAAGGGAAGTTATTCCTGATACACTCAAACTCTTCACGTGAGATGAAGCCGTCGCCGTTTGTGTCGAAATTCTTGAACACAGACTGTGAAAAGAAAACATGAAAATGTATCTCCAACAATACATCCTGGAAATTCAATTATATAATATGCAGTTACTGTCAGTGTAAACAAATACATACATTTGACCCTCCACTAAGCCCCATTACTGACAAATCCTACATTGGCAACTAAAAACTAGACTTGGCCTGGTTCAAAAATAGAACCCTGGAGCCTCAAAATGTGTTTTTCAAAGATTAAGAACTTGAGCATCTTAAAAAAGCAGTGCTCAGGTCGTGAGATGCTGAAAAAACAGTGAGACACAATGCTACGGCCAAAACATCATAGAAAGAATACAAGAACACGTCCTGTGCAAATGTCCACTAAGCAAAATCTACCTTTCAGAGACTGAATTTGATGGATAATATAGAAATTTCCATCACACATTTCTTTGTCAAGCAAATTACAAGATGTAGCAGAGTTTGACTGAGTTTGCAGCAGTAAATAAGACGGGCGGAGTTTAGTAAAGGCTCAACTCAAAAGTGATGTAATGGGTTTGACGCAAAAGTGTGACAAAACAGATTAGAATGAAAAGAATGTTAGTTTTTCTCTTACATCCACCATCTTCTCGATATGTTTGCTGATGATAGCAGGATCAGCTTTAGGCTTGACTGACGCTGCCCACTCGTCAATCATTGATGGCTGTTTAGGAGCTGGACTGGAGGAAGAGGTTGAGTTCTGATCCACCAATCAAAAAATAAAGTCACATTATTTCACATATATTTAAATCTAATCTTGTGAGTTTATTACTGTAAATTACTGTAAATTATATAACCAAACATCTACATTTCTGATTGATGGACATGAATAAATATATGATAAATTACTAAAATTAACCAACATTTATAAATATACAAAAATTAACCAGATATAACTGGCTGGAAAACTAACCGCTGGTTTTGCAGCTCTGGGTTCCCTCTGTAATGAGAGCTGATAAATCTCTTCTTCTGTGTGATACTGATCCAGTGACACCTGTACATAAGGATTCAATAAATTGCAAATTAATAATATAACTTTTTAGGAAGAATACATATATTATTATCATTATATCCTATATATACTCTGAATTTTTTTGTGTGCGTGTGTTTATCATAACTTTTTATTTATTTATTTATTTTTATTTTTATTTTATTTATTAATGGCAAGACCTTAAAGTTGAAAAAACTATGGATCCCATTCCCACCACAGGTAGGTAGGTGATGATAGATAGACAGATAGATAGATAGATAGATAGATAGATAGATAGATAGATAGATAGATAGACAGACAGACAGACAGACAGACAGATAGATAGATAGATAGACAGACAGACAGACAGCCAGACAGACAGACAGACAGATAGATAGATATAGAGACAGAGAGACAGACAGATAGATAGATAGATAGATAGACAGATAGACAGACATACAGCCAGACAGACAGACAGACAGACAGACAGATAGATAGATAGATAGATAGATACTTCTTGTAATTCTGTTATAAACTCTTTTGCGAGTTATGTCACAATTTCATTTCTTAGAATTGCAAGTATACGTCTCACAATTCTGACTTTATAACTCACAATTGTGAGTTTATATTATGCAATTCTAAAAAAAAGTCAGTTATTATTCTAATTTTTTATTCAGTGGCAGAAACAAGCTTCCATAAGAAACTATAAGAGTCAAATGTGCTATGAAAGCAAAGTTTAGAGACTCATCAAAAATGAAAAACCCTGTAGTTTCTGAAATGGTTAGCTTTCAATCAGACATGAATTCTGATGGCGTGTTAACCCAGTGCAGCAATTACTGTAATTATTCAGAAGATTCTATGTAGAGTTGTTCACGTTCTGAGGACTAAAGCATATTTTGTTCCTATGGCAATGCTATGGCAACGGTGAAATGTATCTATTTGTGGCTTTACAACAGCAAAACTCTGCCATTAACAAAAAAAAAAAAAAAAAAAAGTAACACATTCCATAATAAGGACTTTTCAAAACTTGTTTTCCGTGTTGTGTGTGGACAGGAACAGATTGAGGAATATGGAATATGCAAGTTGAAGTCCAGTCTTCCACACATCTTCCAATTAATACATACTTTTATATGCAAAAACTCAGAAATTAGTTAGCATTTTCCGGTTCCATCGTCCTGAAATTAAGGGTTTTTTCTATGGGTTTTTGGTTAAATGTCTGAAGGTCTGTGTTTAACACAAGCTCAAGATATTTTCAAGTGTTATTCTACAACATAAAATACACTAGTAATACCACCTTGTGATTTTTTTAACAGCTTTTACTTGTCTTAAAAAGAAAACAAGTGGCTAAATTTGACTGCAGATTGCTTGGGATGTTAAACATGATCACACCGAACAGGTAAACTCATCTACTCACTAGTCGCTTTCACAGTCTCATTGTGTTTATAATCGCACTTTTGCAAACTATTAGGAAAATGTATTTTAAATAAGCTGTCAGAAGCTTATCGGTGGTGACATTAAAGTCACACAACCATGGTGTAGTTTGTTTAAAGCCTATGTTTAGCTTTTAACCTCTGCATATTGTATTTTGGCCTTAAAAACATGTCAGAATCATAAACTTTTGTTGGTCGCAGAAGTTATTTTCTGCAATAATCCAAAAGCCAATGGAAAAATCTGGTAATACTTTATTTTAAGGTGTCCTGCAAAAAGTCCTACGCCAATCCCTAATCCTAAACCTAACCATATAGTAAGTACATGTAGTCAATTAATATTACTCAGTACTTAAATGTATAATTCCACTGTAACAAGGACACCTTAAAATAAAGTGCAACTGAAAATCCTTGAGGCAGCCTGAGTGATGCAAACACACACAGGGTGGCCTACAAAAATATATTTTCACTGCAGCACTCTATGGTGGAAATCAATATATTTTCTCAAACTAGCCACTAATATTGGTTTTTACAAACAGACACCCATTCAATCAGTCAGTTTTGTCCTAATCACATTAAGACACTATTCATAAAATGCATGCACTCACTGTAAGTAGATTGAGCAAGTCTGTGTTGGCCTCGATGTTAGGAGGATTGTTCTGCACGAGAGCCAATTCCTGCAGGATGGCATAGAGTTGCTGAGTTTTAGTCAAGTTGACGCGAGTCTTCTGTGGGTCTGTCCAGTCCGCAAGAGCGACATGAACAGCTATCAAGTCCTTGAGGTTAACAGCCAAGATTGGGAATCGGAAACCAGTGCATTCAGCGAATCGGCGCCGGTACTGACTATAGTTTCCAAAGGACGTCAGCAGGTCCAGCAAACTGTTAAAGATCTGAAAGAGATATTCAGATGGTACTTGTCTGAAATAATCATGTTGGGTCTGATGTATATGTGTATGGTGACAGGTGTTGCATGTACCTTATTAGTTTCATTGCTGATGTGTGCCTGTGTCTCCTTCAGCCTAGAGATGGAGCTGTTATTGAGACCCCCGACCACCGCCATCAGCGTGTTGAAATTCTGCAGCTGCAGTAGCTTCTATAGAGCGTGAATTAGCGAGAAAGAAAGAGAGAATGAAGTTGACAAAATCTCAAAGGGCACCTATTATGCCCCTTTTTACAAGACGTAATATAAGTCTCTGGATGCGTCCCCAGAATGTGTCTGTGAAGTTTCAGCTCAAAATACCCCACAGATCATTTATTATATCAGTTTGAAAATGCCTATTTTGAGTGGAAGCAGAAACAAGCTGTTTTCGTGCATGTCTCTTTAAATGCAAATTTCGCCCCCGTTTCTAGAATAGGGATGTGCCTTTATAGCTAGTATATACTCTGCCAAAAAACATCTGTTTGGTTTTGATTATCATGTCTATCGCGCTAAAATCATGCATTTTAAATTATATTTGTTTAAACATTTCTGAGCGCACACATCCGAAGTACGCGCACAGAAAGCGGCTGTCACATGGCATGTGAGTACTAAATTTAGTTCTCTTTCATGTCTTATTGAGCTTAAATTGCCAAATGCACGCAAGTTTATGTTAAAAACACACATAAGTTACAAAAACACAGACGGTTATACCTGGGAAAGAAACTGCATGTTTATATTAGATCTGTGTATTAAGTGACAGCAGTGTAATATACAGTATCTATACTGCTCTCTACACTGTTAATATGACCCAAACAATAAAATATTCAATAACCTCTGTAGCTTTAACAAGAAGACATTTCTTATTTGAATGCTGCTTTTAAATGCTCTAGCGTTAAGATAAACATGGCAGATTGTGTGCGGCTCACTCAGGACGGGGTCTCTGAAAAATATGTCAGTGTCGTGGGTGGGGCTTGCAAAATGTGACATCATATTTTACAGATTCTGCGAATGGCTGCTTATGATTTATGGGTATTAAAAAAAAGAGCGGGTGGATTTTTATGATTATTGGGTGGTTGTGTTCACACTGCCAACACACATTTATGTTCAAACAACATGTAAAAGTGAATTTTGCATAATAGGTGCCCTTTAAGTTGAATTAAAATAATAAAAATAGTTCACAAAGAACACACTCATGCTATTTAGAGGCTCTGAAAGCTGCAAATTTATCAAACCTTATTATGGGTTTTTAGTTGTACTTTGTAGTTGTACACACTTTGGCATAATCTCAAAGTTCTGTTGTGTGAATGAACTTGTGTGTATCAACAGTTAGAGCTGCTGGCTAAAACTTAAAATGGATTATCAAAACAGCACCTACAATGAAAAAGGATTTACTTACAATTTTTAATCTGAAATTGCTAGACAATTTCACAAATAATTTTCAAAGAAACAGCTGTAAATCAATCAAATGTAAAAAGACTGAAATAGTATTTTCTCGTAAAACATACTCCAATAATCTTTATTTACAACATTGTAAAATAATTTTTCGCAGTGTCGGATGGATGTACATACACATTAATGTACATTAATGTACATGTACATTAAAGTAAAAGACAACTCAATATGAAAAGGAATTGGGCAGGAAACCTTGTGAAAGAGAAGGGAAAGATCAGAAAGATATAAAGCAGTAGTCGAAGTGATATTTCGGAAGAGGAAGAGCTCAGGGGCCCATACGAAGGAAGAGAACAAGAGATCATCAGGAGGAACAAGAGCAGGGGGGATGGAGCCCCACTGTGCTTTTGAAAAATTCAAAGAGAAGAAAAGTCACATGGGTCTAGCTGTCATTGTACTAAAAGTCTACACCAGGAATCTATGTTTTGTAGGTCTTTGGTTTTATTTGTTTCCAAGATGGATTTTTGCTGATTTGCACTCAGCAGTAGTATTTTACAAATGAATTTGTAGTGCACTAAGTTTGTGCTTGATGAAAGCATGAAATAACTACATTTAGAGTGTATTTTCAGTTACATGCCAATCTATTTATAGTATACTTATCATGAAATAAATATATTTTAAATACAATTAAGTATATTTATTTTTCACTAGGGCATACACTAATTCTCGGCCTTTGAATCAGTTTTCAATTTCATAAAATACTTTTTGCAAAACAAAACACACAATTCTCTATGTAACAGACAAAAATCTAACAGGAAGTATCTTGGTTTCCTTTTTCAAACACAACCAATCAAAATGCCACACTAATTCATCAGTGCCTCACACTAACTCCTCACATGTGCAAACACTCAATGCTTTACTTAACACCAAGCCAAGGGTGCCCAAACTGGGTCCTGGAGGGCCGGTGTCCTGCAGAGTTTAGCTCCAACTTGCCTCAACACACCTGC